TACTGGATTTCATGAAAAGTTCAGAACCTAAACAAAGCAAATTCTAATATATCTTTTGTGACTAATCACAAGGAATTTTTAAACTATACAATTTTTTTAACAAAAATATTATCTGTTAAATAGTAGATAGGTGGTAATTTTTTTTTTAACAAAAATATTATCTATTTATAGATAGATAAATAAATGGGTTAATTGCAATTAAAATCACAATTTTTTGCTTAATTGCAAATAAAATTTAATATTTTTAATTTGGCATAAAAATACCAAACCTTTATTAACTGTTGTAATTTTGTCTCGGAAAAATGACGTGGAACCAAATCACTTTTTCTTTTATTTTTCCTTTTTCTTTTTCCTTCTTTTCTTCCCTATTCCCGTCACTTTCTTTCTTCTCCAGATCCCCAATTCTCTCCTCTTCCCAAATTCTTCTTTTTCCTTCCTCAAATTCTCGAATTCCATTCCTCTTCTCCACGCCCTTGCTCAGAGCTCCCGACAACCGTCGTCGGCGGCCAGAGGTGGCGGCCTGAACTGGAAACACAAGGCGGTGACCTCGCAGAGTGCGCCGGCGATGGAAACACAAGGCCGAGAGCAGAGAGTAAGGATTTAAGTGGCGATTTTTTTATCTGGATTTCGAGAGCTTGGAGAGGGTGAGAAGTGAGAGAGTTTCATAATTTTCATATGGCTTGGGGAGAGCAGATGCTGTGTGAAAATAATGTGAGGGAAGGGGGAAAATCATCGCTAATAAGAGGGGAATAATGGGGCAATCAAGGTGATGTTAATTTCAAAATTAATACACTTAAATGGCTCCTTTTGGGAAAAAATCGGAAGGGGCTGGTTAATCCATTCCAAGAATAAATCGGAAGGGGCTGGAGGAGAGCAGAACCAGGCGGCGGCTCGCGACGTGCGGCAGCCGCAGAAGGAGAACAGATTGGAATAATTTTTTTTTTCTTTTTTCCTGAGAAAATGGGTGTGTGACTTGGAGGTTGACGTGTCTGATGACGTGGCACTGAATATTACATTTTAGGTGCCACGTCAATTTTCCGATCGGACATGTCAGCGCCTCTTAGCCGGAATTCAGTTTTGAGACAATTATGCAATACTTAATAAAAGTTTGTATTTTTTTCGTAAAATTTAAAAGGTTGAGTTTTATTTGCAATTAAGCAAAAGGTTGTGATTTTTTTGGCAATTAACCCTAAATAAATACATATTTGGATACAAGTATTGACAAGGACAGTAAGCAACATTCTCATTTTAAGTTCACAATGTATAATCATTCAACAATAAAGTAGTATGTCACGGGTAAGAAATATTTATTAATATTTATAAATTAAAAGTACTTATTAAATACTTCCTCCTATTTTTAATAAGTGTCGTTTTGAGAAGTTGTACAGTAATTAAGAATTTTTTTTTTGCCAATAATAACCCTCATTAATGAAGATAGAGATAAATGTTTTGAGAAAATATAAAGAGTGAATATGAAAAAATCGTAGGGTATTTATTAGCTAGATGAGGGTAATAATGAAAAAATATGTACAAAATATCCAAAACGTTATTTATTTGGTTAATTGTTGATAAAGCTAAAATGACATTTAAAAAAATAGGAGGTAGTAATATTTATATCAATATGTAACACAATTTACCTATATTAATTTATTGAAAATACTATATCAAGTTTAAATTGTGCAAAATTAAATAAAATATGTCTATTTAAATTAGTACATAACCTGTACGGTGCATGTAACTGATAATAAATTACAATATATTCATTTAAAAATAAGTGTCATTTTAAACTTTTTAGTCAGAATTCAATTTGACTACACCATGGTTACATAAAATAATTATTTTGGTAAAATTTTATCGTATATTTAAAAATCTATGTGAATAATAAGTATACTTATAAAATTTATGAGAAAATTACAAATTTGGTCCCAAAACTTTTGTTGTTTCCCACATTTAGTTCCAGGCACGTCAATTGTGGTCTTTTTTGAATTTTCGTTGCCAAAATGGTCCCACGTCCGTCAATATTAACGGGGCTCGTGTGAGGACGTTAGATTGGACCAATTTTGCAATTTTGGGACCAATTTTGCAGTTTTTCAAAAAAAAAAAAAATGAATTCTTCAAATTCTTCAAGTCTCTCTCATTTACTCAAAGCCGAAATGACATAATAAAATTAATTTACTATGAATATTATGCGAGAAATAAATATTAAAAATAATTTTATAAAAATAAATATCGGGTGGAAAAGTAAAGACGTTGATAAATTTTAATTTTGGGTGGAAAAGTAAACGATATAATTGCTAATTGTGTGGTATTTATTTTATTTTCTAATATTTTTACCGTCATTACTTAAAAAATATTAGCAATTATTTGAATATTATTTAAATTAAAGAATATTTAGAAATAATATTATTTTAATTAAATAAAGCAAACCAAAAGACATAATCCAATTTATCAAAATAAGAAAAAATGTGAGTATGCTTACAATAATACTAATCCGTCTACACTTTTAAATATTAGTATAATGTGATAATTTATATATATCCTTACAAACTTTATTAAATAATACGAATTAAAAAAAACCCAATCTAAACAATTTTTTTTATTACTGTCTATTTTTATTTTAATAATTTTTTATTTATCAATTTGATTTTGACAACTATAAATTGAAAAATCTATTTATTTATGCAAATTACATCTACATAAAAAATTTCAATTTTAAGCATAATAAAACAAAATTTGGCATTAAATTAAGTGAAAATAGACATTTGCTCACACTTATTTATAGTAAAATATATCATATATTTTTTTTTGCATCTCATTTATCATGAACTAATTAATAAAATTATTTTATACACCTTTTGTTAAGTTACCAAATTAAATAATCATTTTATGTAAAAAATCAAGTTAAACTTTAATTTAAGTTAAAAAAAAATGTGAAAGAATTGTATGTTAGTTATATTTATCTTTTATAATTTATTAAAAAATAAACTAAATGTATTGTTAGGAAATAATGGTAATATACCTTTTTAACATTTACTAAAAAAAATTTTAAAAAATTTTTTCTAATAAAAATAAATTTAAATAATTTTTATCACTTACTCTTTGAGAAAATTGTAAATTTGGTCCCAAAACTTTTGCTGTTTCCCACATTTGGTCCCAGGCTATAAACGTTGACCGTTAAGTCTTGACGGAGTGGGACCATTTTGGCAACGAAAATTCAAAAAGGACCATAATTGGCGTGCCTGGGACCAAATGTGGGAAACAACAAAAGTTTTGGGACCAAATTTGTAATTTTCTCTAAAATTTATATTATTTATTAATAAAATAATATTTTGTATAAACTATCCAAAACACAACACAAACGATTGAGGCGCGATCAATCTTTTTTTTCTTAAGAAAAGTTACCAAATATACCACACAAAAAGTTGACAGGTCGATTATTTGTTTATGTTTTTTTTTTATTGATTTTAACGTTCAATGAAACGTACATGAATTTATTGTTTTTTTATGCAAAATATACCCAAAAAAAGAGGACATATATTCTGATATCACAATCGATTATATATATAATTGACATATACTGTACATATACTGATCATATACTGTACATATACCACAACACAGCATGTATCAGATCTTGAACTCACCCCTGCAGCCTGGTATTTCGGCAAAATGAGCATATGTCGGAGCCCGACTTGCGTGATGGTATCTCCTAACTGCGCGAGCACCATTTTCGCTGATCTCCGGTGATTCTAACTGGATAGTTTAGGGTTTTAGGGTTCCGATGAGTTTTCTTGTTCGGTCGCCGAAGGAGAGAGGGGCACGGGCGTTGCCATATACAGTCTGGTGCTTTGGAGAAGAGAGAAAAAGAGAGAGGGAAGAGGATGAGAGCGAGAGAGATGGTGAGCGTGAGTGTTTTTAGAGAGAGAGATAATTAAGTCAACCGATTTATTTGGTAAGTAAATCTCACAAGGTATATTTGCAATATTTTGTAGATCTTTAGGCTATTTTGTAAATAAAAATAAAAAGGTAACAAAAGTGTTATATAAATTAAATAGGATAGTATGAGGTGTAAATTCTTCTAATAATATTAAACATGATGCACACAACTGTCAGACTGCACAATAGTGTTATACCAAATGTAGTTTAATGCGTCCGAGAACGCAGATTAGCGTATCACTGTGTTCCGGATAATGACATTGCGTGACAAAAAACAAAAGTGTAATCCGCACAATAACACCGCGCGACAAAAAACAAAAAAAAAACAAAAAACAAAAGAAAAAACGTTGTATGCTATTGTATATTTTAACATATATAAAAGATAATATTTTTATATTTTATCTATATATATTATTTAGTTTAAGAAAATAATAATATAAAATATTAAATAAATATAAATAAATACTACATATAGTTTTAATATATTAGTAATTTGATAAATGCAAAATCGAAATACACATTAATTTTTTTTTACAAAATTGAAATGCACATAAAAAGTATCAGGTTAATAGACTGCACAATAATGTTAGACGAAATGCACATTTGTGTCTGTGGGAGTGCATGTTACCGATTTTGGTATTTATATTTTATGTATTTTCAACTAAAAATAATATGAAATATAAAATATAAATATTAAAATATTTTATAATATATATAATAAAATATTTTGATTATTTAGGTTAATTTAGTTAATAGATCAAAATAATCCAATTACTTCGCATATAGGTTGTTTTGGGTCAAATCATTAAAAATATAACTATAATGTAAGTGTACCTTAGTGTTAGAAGGATTGCCCAACAATGACTGTCATATTGCACAATAGCGATCAAAATCGACCAAACTAAATGTTTCGGTTCAAATTTTATATTTTAGTTTGATTATTTGTTTTTACTTTTACAAACTCTATTATTTTGGTTCGGTACAAAACCGACCAAACTATATAAAAAAATATTACTACTTAGCATTTTTTATAAAGAAATTATTTATTTTTAGCTAAGAAAATAAAATAAAATTATTAAAATTCTAAATATGTTTTTTATAATGTAAATTATATTTTATTTCAGTTATTTTGGTTAATTCGGTTACCCGATCGTCTTTATTAACTTCTTAATTATGGTAATA